GTCCCTTTCTGGTATTTAACCAGGTCACAATGATACAGGTCACTTGGGGGTTTCCTTGCAAGCCATTCTGTTATCTGCACATAGACGTAGGTTTGTTTCTTCCTGCCAAACCACATTTGTTTTTCTCTCCTTTCTGACATTATTATATTAATCAGAAATTCCAGTACTATGTCTAATAACAATGGTAAGATAACCTGTCATTGCCTTGAAGAGGAAGCGTTTGATCTGCTACCAGTCAGTACAGTGCTGTATGCTGGTGTTTGCATGTGCCCTTTTCCAGCTGACAAAGCTTTCTGAGAGTTCTGGGTGTTGAATTTTGTCAAATAATTTTTTTTTTTTTTTTTTTTGCTGTGATTGGTATGTATAGTGCTTTAGAAGAATGGCTTCCATAGTCTCAGATGTTTGAATGCTTGGTTCTTAGTTCTCAGCTGGTGGACTTGTTTGGAAAGGATTAGAAGGTGTGGCTCTTGATGGAGGAGGTATGTCACTGGGGGGTGGGCTTTGAGGTTTCAAAGGCCCACACCAGACCCAGTCTCAGTCTCTCTCTCTCTCTCTCTCTCTCTCTCTCTCTCTCTCTCTCTCTCTCTCTCTCTCTCTCTCTCCCTCTCTCCCTTCCTAAAGATTAGGATGTAAGTTGCTCAATGACTACTCCAGCACCATTTCTGTCTGCTTCTCACAATGATGCCCATGGACTAACCTTCCAAAACTGCAAGTGTCTTAGGGTTTCTATTGCTGCAGTGAAACACCATGACCAAAAAGCAAGTTGGGGAGGAAAGGGTTTATTCAGCTGATACTTCCATATTGCTGTTCATTATTGCAGAAAGTCAGGACAGAAACTCACACAGGCCAGGAACCTGGAGGAAGGGGATGATGCAGAGGCCATGGAGGGGTGCTGCTTACTGGCTTGCTCACAAGGCTTTCTCAGTCTGCTTTCTTTTAGAATCCAGGACCATCAGCCCAGGATAGCACCACCCACAATGGGCCCTCCCCCATTGGTCACTAATTGAGAAAATGCCTTATACCTGGATCTCATGGAGGCATTTTCTTAACCGAGGCTCCTTCTTCCCTGATGACTCTAGCTTGTGTCAAGTTGACTCAACATAAAGCCAGTCAGAACTGTGAACAAGCCCACAGTTCAATGCTTCCTTTCAAAAGGTTGCCTGGTCATGGCGTCTCCTCCCAGCGATAGAACAGTAACAAAGAGTATGACTATGTGGCTTCTCTTAACCTGTGAATATGGTAGATCACAGTGACTGATTTTCAACCAGGGACCTCCCCTTCCACCTTAGTCATGTGCTTGCTTTATTTCCATTTGCTAACTAACACTTAGTGTTAAATTTGCACTCATGTGAAAGAGCAGAACAGATTCCATTCTGAAAATGAACTCCATTTTAGACAGGACCTAACTAGGGGGTGAAGCAGCCCAGCAAAGTCATAAGCATTCCCAAGAAACTGTGCCAGCCCCGGTCAAGTGACCCCACCAGCGTGTCCAAACAGCATCTGCTTGCTTCAAATGTCCTGTAGATACCCGATTAACTGCTGTTTTGACTGTTAAGATTCTCCTATACCCCAATACTTTTACCCAATCCCCAAATGCCAGGGCTGTGACACCCGGCCTTGCTGTTTTTCTCTTTAAAAGCGCTTTCTGTGAAACCTCAGGGCCATTCTCCCTCACCAGCTGCAGCAGTATGTTTTATTATGGTCCGATTTAGCTAACTTGTAATCAGTAATCCCCAGCTTGTTTGCATCGGATACCAGCTCTATGGTGGGCTTGTTTGGGGGTTCTGTGACATGGCCATGATCCAAGTTCATGAAGCTTGTTACTGTTCCTCTTTCTCTCTGTTATGTTTCACTGTTGTGGCAAAACTGGCCTCAGAATTTGTTTACTGGGTGGAACCAGTGAGAAGTCTTTTTTTTTTTAATGTTGGTGAGATCATATGGTTGCAGTTTCCTACATTCCCGGGAGACACAGCCTCCGCTCTTACCGCTCTTACCATCTTTCCATCCCTTCTGCCGGGATCACTGAGCCCGGGACTGCAGGACTGTGTAGGAGCTGTGTCCAGGCTCTACAGCTCTCCTCTGGATTCCTGTGGTTGTCTGGCGTGGTCTCCACCTGTTGCAATGAGACGTTTTCTTGGTGAGGGGTGAGAGATCTGCACTTGTCCCTGGGTAGAAGGACAAATATTTAGGATGTCATTGGGGCTTATGCTGGCTTAGAAAAGTGGGGTGGTGGGCTCTGCTCCACGATCCATAGTGCGCATTCTTTAACCATTTAGTGGCCATCCTTGTCTCCAGCTTCACCCACTCTTCTCTCTTCTCTCCATCCACTGAGTGTGTTATTGCTTTCTCTTGTTCTAGAATTTCCATTTAATTCTCGTTTGCATATTCTATCAACTTCCTGCCTCCTTTCTTATACCGATACTGATTTCCATTTCCTGTAAATGTGATCCTAACTACTCATTGATTTTTGTGTTTGGTGTGGGGCAGAGACTTAATTTAATGCTTTTGATGGTTTGTTTTTACTTCTTTCAGACAGGGTATCATTATGTAGTTCTGGCTGTTCTAGAACACACTGTATAAACCAAGCCGGCTTTGAACTCAGAGATCTACTTGCCTCTGCCTCTCAGGTGCTGGGATTAAAGGTGTGTACCACCATGCCTAACCCCTACTTTTATCTTGTATATACACATTTTATTGAACACCTAACCTTTTGACTTTATGGTGACTAATACATTGTTCTGCTATTCATGGACCCCCTTCCTATCTTGTTCCCTTGATCAATTTGCTGATTCTGGAGGCTATGCCACACTTCCTTATTGCAGAGGCTTTATAACAAATTCCCACATCTGGCAAACCACATTCTTGTCCTTGGTTCTGAGTCAAGAGGGTCCCTGTACCACCTTGTTCTCTGTTTTCTTCCGTACAAACTCTACTGACTCCAATACGATTTAGTGGAAAATAGTTTCATAAAATTGAACTTTCAATACATTATTTTTTTTATTTCTTTAATTTTTTTTTATTTCTTTATTTTTTTTTTTTTTTTTTTTTTTTTTTTTTTTTTTTTTTTTTTTTTTTTTTTTTTTTTTTTTTTTTTTTTTTTTACCTGCGGCACTGAGGCTACACCTGACCCTGCCCACAGCTGCCGCCTCACTGCTGAGGCCATGGCCAGGGGAGCCTAGTGTCCTGCTACCTCCTCAGCTACCTCCACTTGTTGTTTTAACTAAGTCTCTGTCTTTTTATTTTACTAATAAAGACTCTGGAGCCAGATGCTGGGGTGAAAACCTGCTAGCTCAAAGAGTCAGAGGAAGCAGCCAGCTGACCTTCCTCCTCTGCCAACATCCCGGAAAGAAAGCTCTCTCTGATGCCATCTGAAACATCCTGCAACCTGTTGACCCTCCCTTCACTTCCTGTTCCTCTCTCTCTCTGACCTCCTGACTTCCCCTCACTCTCTATGGCTACTTCCAGTCAATTGGTGCTTGCCCCACTTTTTTTTTTTTTTTTTAACCAGTGGTCAATTTTATCTAAATAATGCAACCTTAGGGTTCACAGTGTGATCAAATATCTCACAACACTTTAACTGTCTAAATTTTGAAATAATTATAGATTCACAGGAAGCTATATAAACAGAACTGAAAGCCCTTCAGTGAGCTCCTCCTATTGGCAGTAGTATATGTAATTATGGTTTAGTGTCAAAACTAGAACACTGACATTGGTGCAATCCACAGACTTTATTCAGATTGTACCAGGTTGCATGCAGTCATGGTGCAAACCTGTGTAATTGTAGCACATGTGTAGCCTTTCCACACCACAACACCAGCACACGACCAGCAGGGAGAATTATTCATGTCAAAAGATTAATTTTGGGCTGGAAAGATGGCTCAGAGGTTAAGAGCATTGCCTGCTCTTCCAAAGGTCCTGAGTTCAATTCCCAGCAACCACATGTTGGCTCACAACCATCCATAATGAGATCTGGTGCCCTCTTCTGGCCTGCAGGCATACACACAGACAGAATATTGTATACATAATAAATAAATATTAAAAAAAGATTAATTTTTCACCATTTTGAACTGAAAGACCCTACAGACCCCCTCCTCAAAACCCGCAGCACCCAGCCTGCTCTCGTAAGAACATCCCATGTGCTTGAGAGAGCAGGATGAGATAGGAAGACTGCAAGGCAGGATATCAATAAGATAGGACATCAACAAAGCAGGTTGACTGCAAAACAGGATATCTATAAGATAGGAACAGGATGACTTTTGCTGACACCCATGCTGAGAGAGGAAACCATTCATGCCCCCGCCTCATTCCGATAACCACGCTTTTGCTTCTGTAAACTTGCTTTTTGCTCTTCCCTATAAAAAAACCCGCCCTCCAGTCGGCAGGCGCGCAAGTCTTCCGAGAGATCTTGCCGCCCGCAGGTACCTGTGTCTACTCAATAAACCTCTTGCGATTTTGGTGCGTTGGCGGGGAATTGAGACCCCCCCCACCCAGGGACCACCGACTCACCATCGGGAGGTAAGCTGGTCAGCTCCGAGTCAGTTGTCTTCTGTGTTCTTTGTTCAGTTGTCTTCCGTGTTCTTTGTTGAGTTGTCTTCCGTGTTCTTTGTCGAATTCTGTACACTCAGGCCTGGGTGCGCTGTACCTGGCGGAGGGAAGGGGCTGACGAGCCCAGAGCTCCCCCCCCCCCCCGCAGTCCTGGAAGACGTTCCAAAGATATCAGGACCCCCCGGCCCTCGGAGGTCAGCCCGCAGGGGTTTCTGGAGCCTACCCGAGCCCCCGGAGTCAGTCCGCAAGGACTTCTGGAGCCCGATTCTTCGGAGCTCAGCCTGTATCCGAAGGATACGTGGTTCTAGTTGGAGGAGAGGGATCCGGACCTTCAGAGCCTCCGTCTAGGTTTTTGCTTTCGGTTTTACGCTGGAGCTGCGCTGCGCGTTTGTTCCGTCTCTGTCTTTGTGTGTCCTTTTTTTGTTTTTATATTTGGTTCCCTTCTCTTCGAGAAGATGGGACAAACCCTAACCACCCCATTGAGCCTTACTTTAGACCACTGGCCTGACGTCCGCGCTCGAGCCGACAACCTGTCAGTCGATGTTCGAAAGAAGAAATGGGTGACCCTTTGTTCGTCCAAGTGGCCTACTGTTGGGGCAGAATGGCCAAGAGACGGCACTTTCAATCTCAATATTATTTCCCAGGTTAAAGCAAAAGTGTTCAGCCCGGGACCACATGGACACCCGGATCAATGCGCCTACATTGTTACCTGGGAAAGTTTGGCACGTGACCCGCCCCTATGGGTCCAGCCCTTTGTCATCTCTAATAAACCCCAACCTCCTCTTACCCCTACAGCCCCTAAGGCTCCCCCTCCTCCGGAGAGCCAACCGCTTGTACCTCTTCCTCCTGCACCTTCCCCTGCCCCACCCTCTTCTTCCCTATACCCCACCATTCTTGAGGAGAAGATTCCCAAAGAAAAACCTCCGAAACCTACCCCTGCGCCCCCTCCCGTCCTTCCTCCGAACCCTGACTCTCCCCTCACTGACCTTCTATCAGAAGAACCCCCTCCTTATGCAGATCCAGAGGATCCAGAGAGTCTGGATGGGCCGGAGACTGCAGCGGTGGGTGGACAGCCTGCACAAGTCTCCCCAGCCCCTTCACACATGGCTGGAAGACTCCGGGGAAGGCGTGAGCCACCCCCTGATTCCACTTCTCATGCCCTACCCTTGAGAGAGGGCCCAAATGGCCAACAGCAATACTGGCCATTCTCTGCCTCAGATCTATGCTATTGGAAACACCATAACCCCCCATTCTCCAAAGATCCAGTAACGCTGACTAACCTGATTGAATCTATTTTAGTCACCCACCAGCCCACTTGGGATGATTGCCAGCAACTCTTGCAAGCCCTGCTGACCTCAGAGGAAAAGCAAAGAGTCTTTTTGGAGGCTCGGAAAAACGTCCCAGGCGACAACGGTAGCCCAACCCTTTTGCCTAACAAAATTGACGAGGCCTTCCCTCTGACATGACCTGACTGGGATTTTACCACGGCTGCAGGTAGGGGACATCTACGCCTCTATCGCCAGTTGCTAATCGTGGGTCTCCGAGGGGCAGCACGCCGCCCCACCAATTTGGCCCAGGTTAAGTAAGTAATACAGGGAAATGAAGAGACGCCCTCAGCCTTCTTAGAAAGGCTCAAGGATGCTGCTTATAGGATGTATACCCCCTATGACCCTGAGGATCCAGGGCAAGCTACAAGTGTATCCATGTCTTTCATTTGGCAGTCTAGTCCGGATATTAGAAGCAAATTGCAGAGGCTTGAGGGTCTCCAGGGATATACTATACAAGACTTACTAAAAGAGGCAGAGAAGATTTTCAATAAGAGAGAGACTCCAGAAGAAAAAGAGGAAAGATTATGGCAGAGAATGAAAGATCGGGAGGATGAAAGAGACAAGAGGAGAAACAAGGAATTAACTAGGGTGTTGGCCACCGTGGTTCAGGGACAGAATAGAGAGGGAGACAGAAAGGGAGAACGACTTAGGGCCAAGGTGGACAGAGACCAATGCGCCTATTGTAAAGAACGAGGACACTGGATTAAGGATTGCCCCAGGAGGAACAAAAGGACCTAGGAAGCCCAGGCCCCAAACCTCCCTCCTCACCTTAGAGGATTAGGGAACTCAGGGCCAGGAGCCCCCCCCCCCCCGAGCCCAGGATAACTCTTGATGTCGGGGGGCAACCAGTCACCCTCCTAGTAGACACCGGGGCCCACCATTCAGTCCTGACCCAGACTTCAGGGCCACTCAGCGAACGATCTGCTTGGGTCCAAGGAGCCACTGGTGGCAAGAGATATAGATGGACCACTAATCAGAAGATTCAGCTGGCTACTGGTAAGGTGACACATTCCTTTCTACATGTTCCGGATTGTCTCTATCCCTTGTTGGGTAGGGACCTCCTCACCAAGCTAAGGGCCCAAATTCATTTCGAGGACACAGGGGCTAAGATAACAGGCCCAGATGGAGGTCCCCTCCAAATTTTGACCCTCCGGCTGGAGGATGAATATAGACTTTATGAGCTTCAGGAGCCACAATACATGACTTGGCCTCCTGGCTTAATGACTTTCCATTGGCATGGGCAGAGATCGGGGGAATGGGGGTGGCTTTACAACAACCTCCACTTATCATTCAATTGAAGACAACAGCTACTCCTGTTTCAATCAAGCAGTACCCCATGTCCCATGAAGCATATCAAGGCATAAGGCCCCACATAAAAAGACTGCTGGATCAGGGCATTCTCACTCCCTGCCGGTCACCATGGAATACTCCCCTTTTACCAGTAAAGAAACCGGGGACTGGGGACTACCGGCCAGTGCAGGATTTGAGGGAGGTCAACAAAAGGGTGGAGGACATACACCCCACGGTCCCCAACCCCTACAACTTATTGAGCACTCTGCCACCATCCCACGTTTGGTATACCGTATTAGACTTAAAGGATGCCTTCTTCTGCTTGCGGCTGCATCCAGAGAGCCAGTCCCTTTTTGCCTTTGAATGGAAGGACCCAGATCTTGGACTTTCGGGTCAATTGACCTGGACACGGCTCCCCCAGGGGTTCAAGAACAGCGCGACCCTCTTTGATGAGGCCTTACACCGGGACCTGGCAGACTTTCGGGTTCAGTACCCCGCCCTGACATTACTCCAATACTGTTGCGGGAGGTCCTTCTGCCCCTCCAACCAATAGCTGCTGTGATACCAGCCCACTGGGGCGTGGTCTCTCTCCCTTTAAAAAAGCGGCTATTTCCTCTGCTCGCTCTCTTCACTTCCTGCTCCGCCGGAGACTAGACTCCCTTCCTGGTTGTGCAGATGGCTGTTGTCTGGGACGGTGATCTGTAAGTTTTCCCCTTTAAATAAATAACACCCTATTAATCATAACTCCAAACTGGTGTGGCCTTGTTCATGACTTACGCCTTCACAATACGTAGATGACCTCCTTCTGGCGGCCGCTTCGGAGAAAGAATGTCAGGAGGGTACAAAGGCCCTCCTACAGACATTGGGACAAGCAGGATATCGGGCATCAGCCAGGAAGGCTCAGATATGCCAGGAACAAGTCATTTACCTAGGTTATCAATTAAAAGATGGACAGAGATGGCTGACCGAGGCATGCAAACAGACTATCACTAACATCCCTGCTCCCCGGAACCCCCGCCAGCTGAGAGAGTTCCTGGGAACAGCAGGATACTGCCGTCTCTGGATCACAGGGTTTGCAGAGATGGCTGCATCCTTGTATCCATTAACTAAACAAGGAGCAATGTTTGATTGGGGAGAGGAACAACAGAGGGCTTTCTAAAACATTAAGAAAGCCTTATTAGCCTCCCCTGCTTTAGGCCTCCCTGACATTACCAAGTCTTTCGATTTGTTCGTGGATGAAAAACAGGGTTACGCTAAAGGGGTCCTAACTCAAAAACTGGGCCCTTGGAGGCGTCCTGTAGCTTACCTCTCAAAGAAACTCGACCCAGTAGCTTCAGGGTGGTCGCCCTGTCTGCGAATGGTAGCAGCTATTGCAGTCCTCACCAAGGACGCGGGTAAACTGACTCTGGGCCAGCCATTGACTATCCTGGTGCCCCATGCGGTGGAGGCCCTGGTCAAGCAGCCTCCAGACCGCTGGCTCTCTAATGCCCGCATGACCCATTACCAAACCCACCAGGCCTTATGTAACTCAACCCAAAAGGTGTCCAGAGGAACCTATTACCTAGCTGCCTCCAACGGGACCTATTGGGCATGTAGTACTGGATTAACCCCATGCACTTCAGCCACTGTGCTCAGTGAAACCTCTGATTATTGCCTTCTAATTGAATTATGGCCCAAAGTTACATACCATGATCCTGAATACATCTATAGTCATTTTGAAGGGAGACCCCGATTTAGGAGAGAATCAGCCTCCCTAACTTTGGCCTTATTGCTGGGAGGCATCGCTATGGGGGGAATAGCGGTGGGGGTGGGCACAGGGACCACCGCTGTTATGGAGACCAGCCAATTTAGACAACTTCAGGCAGCCATGCATGCTGATATCAAGGCGCTGGAAGAATCGGTTAGCGCACTCGAAAAGTCATTAACCTCCCTCTCAGAGGTAGAGGTAGTCCTACAAAACAGGAGGGGGCTAGACATGTTTTTGCGAGAGAGAGGGTTATGCATGGCACTCAAAGAGGAATGCTGCTTCTATGCGGACCACACTGGGCTGGTGAGAGACAATATGACAAAGCTTAGAGAGAGGTTAAGACAGAGACAAAAGCGGTTCGAATCACAACAAGGATGGTTCGAAGGATGGTTTAATAAGTCTCCCTGGTTTACAACTCTATTGTCTTCTTTGATGGGTCCCTTGATTATCCTCCTTCTGATACTCCTGTTTGGGCCCTGCATCTTAAACCGCCTGGTCCAGTTTATAAAAGACAGGCTGTCAGTCATTCAGGCCCTAGTACTGACCCATCAGTGTCACATGGTACCACAACAAGAAACCGAGGTTCTGTAATTGCTTTGAGTAAAAGATTTAACTCAATAATAAAAAGAAAAAGGGGGGAAATGCAAACCTGTGTAATTGTAGCACATGTGTAGCCTTTCCACACCACAACACCAGCACACGACCAGCAGGGAGAATTATTCATGTCAAAAGATTAAGTTTTCACCATTTTGAACAATGACACAGCTTCTGTTCTTCACTTTCTGATAAAAATTTTAATTTTTGTTTTTCACTCAATAAATAGTATGTATTACAGATTAATTCGTGTTGGTAGAACACCCAATTCTGTTTAAATTCTGAAAAGGACTTCGTAGTGTAGATATGATCAATATATTTACTCATTCCTCTGCTAATAGATTGTTAAATTATTTCCAGTTTTTGGTCCACAAGATGGCTCAGCTGATAAAGGCACTTGCTGCTGACAATGCAAGCCTAGAGACCTACGTTTGACCTCTGGAATTCACATTAAAGTGGAAGGAGAGAACCAACCCCAGATCAGTCCCTTGACCTACAAATGTATGCTGCTGTATACACAGTCCCCCATATACACAGCCCCCCATATACATAGCCCCCTCCACATATACACAATAGTAACGACAAACACAATTTTAAAATTGCTAATTATTTCCAGCTTCTCACTGTTTGAGATTTGCTGCAATGAACACCCTGGCACAGCCCTCTGTGGTAGCATCTGCAGTGTTCCTCTATGAGAGAAGTTGGCTCAAGGGAACGATCACCTCAGAATTTGGCTTACAAGACCAAATTGTCTCCCCACGTGGGTATTGCGACATACAGTCCCTACAGTTGGGAAGAACTAATGACAGCAAGTAGCGGGTATGCAGAATGGAAGGAGGGGCTGTCCTTTTAAATAGCATTCCCAAGGTGGATCTCACTGGTCCGTCGACATTTGAGAAGAGACCCAGGGAGGCAAGAATTCCAGATGAAAGGCTCGGCTGGCACAAAGGCTCTCTGGGGTGGCTGCTCGGTTGTTTGGGGGCATGTGGAGGCCACATTGGGTCGGACAGAAGGTGCAGATTGTGAAGGACCTTGACGGCCAGGGTGGGAACTTTGACTTTTGTGCTAAGTCAAAGGGGCTATGGGAAAGTTCTCAGGACAATGTGATTTGACCTCTGTAAAAAATGAAATCATCGTCAAGACAAAATGGACATATAATAAACTGCCCATTTAAACCACAGTTTGATTAGTTTGGGGCCAGTTATCCTCTTTGTCACTACTCTCTTCCCAGCACCCTGAAGCTTCCACCTCCTCTGCAGATCCTGGCAGACAATCCCTGCCTCATCCTCATGTGAGGCCATTTTTCAAAAGTTCCTTTTCCCCATAATCATAGATCCCCTTTGCCCACTTTAAAACACGTTGGAGACAGAACTTTACAGTATGTGTCTGGCTTCTCTTGTTGAGCCTATCGTCTGGGACATAATCACTGCTGTCGCCTGCCCTGGCATGGACATTTCACCATGACTTCACCCTACTTTTCTAGCCGGTGATGGGCCTTTGAGATGCTTTATCTCTGGACTACAACAAAAATGATTTCATTGTTGGGGGTCACCACAATGTGAGGAACTGTATTAAGGGGTCACAGCATTAGGAAGGTTGTGTTGCAGAATAATCTTTTTGTGCACTGTGAAGACTTGTCGCTCTGATTGGTTTAATAAAAAGCTGAACAGCCAATAGCTAGGCAGGATTTTTGGGGGCAGAAAGGACACTGGGAAGAAGGCAGAGACTCCATGAGATGCAGAGTAAGTAGGATGGGCACTATGGAGATGAGGTAATAAAGTCATTAGGCGAAAGTAAATGAATAGAAACGGCTAATTTAAAGTATATGCGCTAGTTAGAAACAAGCCTAAGTTACTGGCTGAGTTTTATAATTAATACTAAGTCTCCATGTCATTTTCTGGGAGCTGGTTGGGGGGACAGGAAAATCTGCCTGCAAGGTTGAGAACCACAGTCCTAAAGTGCAGTTAAATTCAGTGTTTCCCCACTGACTTCTGTGTGCGGGTGTGAGAGCCAGAAGCGTATTGTATAACTTCCTCCAGCATGCTCCCCCTTTTTTGAATCAATCTCTCATCAAACCTAGAGCTCCCTGGTTTAGCTAAACAGGCTGGCTAGGACGCCCCAGGGAACCTCTTTGTCTCCACCCCCTCAGTGCAAGGATTCCAGACCAGCACTGTTGCACCCTTATGTGGGGGCTGGGAAGTCGAACCCTTTTCTGACTGTGCCATCTCTTTATTAGTTGTTGGTCTGCTCACCACTGTAACTAGTGTGATCAAGGATGCTTTGTATTGATTTCTTGTTTTAGGTCCATTATTTGGCTTATGCATTTAGACCCGGTATTAGAAACATCTATTTTAAATTGTTACATTTTCTTGATGATTTCTTTGTTATGTTTTGAGCTTACTTGCCTCATTTTAGAGTTTTTCCACTTAAAGTCCACTTGTATCTGATTAAAGTTTAGTAATCACGGCCCACTTTTGCATCTGTGTGTCTGATTATCTTTCTCACCCCTCTGCTCTTCATACCCTGTCTGCTCTTAGATGTTAAAGAGACAGGTAACTGTTTTTTTTTTTTTATCTAAAATGTAATCTAATATTTTTTAAATTATGTCTTCTTCTACGAGTTATAGAATAGTTGTTAGGTGGGGAGCAGATAAAGTCCACAGTGGACGTGTATTAGCCGTCCCCTGGTTCAAGAAAGAATGCCGACAAATGGTTGACCTTCAGCTAAAGCCAGTGTGTGCAGGGACCGACCACCACCCCTCACTGACTGACTGCGACCTGAGGCTGAGCTCACTATAGAGATTCCTGCTGATGAGCTAACCTGCTCCTCCACACATGTACGTAACAAATGCACTAAGTGTCTGGGCAGCTGCTGACGCATCTGCATCAGAGTGCACGGTCCACCTGACCCCGGTTCCTGTCAGTTCTTCATTCCCTGTTGCCCCAGCTAGGCCAATCCCTAAGTCATGCAGGTCATGGGAGTTTTAACATTTATTTTAAGACCAGTCATTTCTCTGAGGTTTTGTTTGCATATAATATGAAAATTGAGGGTTTTGTCTTGAGATATGATCTTGTCATATATTCCAGGTTGGACTTGAACTTGTGATCTTCATATCTAAGCTTTCAAATTCTAGGGTTACAGGCATGTGCCACCACCCACAACTGATATTTAAAAAAAAAAATTCGTCTAGGGGCTGGAGAGATGGCTCAGAGGTTAAGAGCACTGACTGCTCTTCCAGAGGTCCTGAGCTCAATTCCCAGCAATCACATAGTGGCTCACAACCATCCGTAATGGGGTCTGGTGCTCTCTTCTGGCCTACAAGCAAACATCCAGACAGAATGCTGTATACATTATAAATAAATGGATCTTTAAAAAAAAATCGTCTATCTATGTATATGTGTCTTCGTGTGGGCACACTACCGTGGCGCACGCATGTCAGAGCATAACTTGGGGAAGTTGGTTTTCTCCTGCTACCATTGGGCCCTGGAGGCTGAATTCAGAATGTCAGAGTTGGTGGCGAGCATCTTCAATCGCTGAGTCATCTTGCTGGCTTCAGTGTTTCCGTACCTGCAGGGCAGGCCGTTGTAGAAAGATCAAGTCGAACTCTGTATAAGGATATGTTAAATGAATAGAAAGGGATAGTAAATACCGTCTGAAATAGATTGCATAATGCTTTATTAACTGAATTTTCTAAATGGTAATGAGAAAGGAAAAACAGCTGAGGAGAGACATTGGATACTAGAAAAAAAAACTACAGAATTAAATCAGCCAATATACTTTAAAGATGTGCTGACCTCAGAATGGAAGCCAGGACATGTGTTATGTTGGAAAAGGGGTTTTGCTTTTGTTTCCATGGGAGAAGAAAAGCTATGGATACCTTCAAAATTGATAAAGATTCAATTTGAACAAGAGACACCTCTTAATTAGAAGAGATGATAGTACATCAAACATCGTGGCTGTTTAATTTAAACAAACAAATAAAACTGACAAATAATTTTCACTTGATCAGATAAGACTTTTCAAAAGAGAATCTCCCCAAAGTACATACTTGCTAATACTCTCCTCATGGCCATCTTCTTTCCCCTTCCCCTTTTCACTAGTCCTTACCCTCTCCCTGGAATAGTTCCCCTTCTGATATAGATACTTTCACGCCTGTGTGTTTATGGGAGCAAACCTGCAGTTTTTCCTTATGAATCTCATGTTAGAAGTTTCTATTAGAATGTAAAAGTCCTTAGCATCCACGTTGACACCTGAAGTCATCAGTATGAGTTCTTTCTCCTTGATGTGCACTGTCTTTCTATTGCACAGTGATAGTGTCTCCAAGTCTTAAGAAACTGTCTCAGGACAGAAGCTGTAACGGTAAAGCTGTGCCCTGTCTTTGAGGTGACATGGGGCAGTTTCCCCCAGCCCGTCCTATACCTCTATATAGCCTTCTTCTAGGGCAGGTATTATGTTCTTTATAATGTTTGTGAGAAATGGAGAGAGAGAAATACTAAAGAAAAATGTGAATTAAAACTCTGTAACCAAGGTAGCAGCACAACCACAAAAGCTATTTTCACTTTGCTAATTGGTATTCTTTTATCAAGTCTTATTCCAAATTACAATTCCCCGTACCTGGACTATTTGATTTAGGCAAATTTGTTTTGTGTCTCAGAGGCTCTGGAGCATGAAGCTTCAATTGCTCTACAACCAAACTCATTATTTACAATAAAAATGTAAATGAGTCTGTAATTCTTCGGCTTTAAAACAGAGAAAACTCTGATATAATTAACCATTCTAATCTGGCAGGTGAAATAGGGTTAAAGCCGTTGACTCAGACCTAGGAGTGTGATAGTTTAGGTTTCAAAACTCTATTTTCCATGCTAGAGATCTCCCTGTTAGAGTAAAAAGACCAAGGAAAGTTTAATACAAGGAATTAGCATTTCTACAACTGGCATCACTATAAATATATATATATATATATATATATATATATACACATACACACACATATATATACCCAATTCTCTTTATTTTATTTTATTATTATTATTACTACAAATTTTCACCTTTTCCCCTCCTCCCATTTCCCTCCCCCTCCACCCATTCACCCTCTCCCTTCCTCTCCAGTCCAAATCTATACCCAATTCTGTGTGGCATGAATAATAAACAGGTTATTGAGACAGATATTGGAGTTCAACCTGAAGATCAGAAAAGCAAAGCAGCCAAGCCACTAGAGAGCTCTTAGCACTGTGAAATCTTCAGACTGAGAGAGAGCGAGTTCCTGTCTCATCCTGCCTTATAATCCTGTACCACTACTGCCTGGCCTCTATGGCTAACTAGTATGGCTGCTGGGATTATAGGTATGTGCTACCACGGCTTGGCCTCTGTGGCTGACTAGTGTGGCTATTTTGTGTTCTGACCTTCAGGAAAGCTTTGTTTATTAAAATACAAATGAAATACCACTACATTTCCCCATTTTAATCTAAAATAAAAAGAAGGCTATAACTAATACAGGAAAAACTTTATACAATAGGGACAATAACTATATGCAATACATAAATACAGACAATAAATACATCAACAATGTATAGTCTATTTGCATTTAAAGACTCAGAGAAAATTCTCTATGTCTATCCTATCTACGTGAGTCCAAAGTCTTGTACCTAATTTACTTTCTATCATAATTTGCTTTCTGCATCTGGTAAACAAGGAAAACTATAACTATCTAGTTTTCAACTCCCTCAGAGACCCAAGAAGGAAAATAATATTAACTGAGTAAGCAGGAAGTGCAAGTAAGCAATTTCCAAAAAATGTGAGAAATGACAGATACAGCTGGCTGCCTGGATAGCCACCCAAGGTTCCTCTGCAACGTTGGGACATCCATCTTTGGCCTATTAGCACATCTGACAGATTTCTCTAAGCAGGATGCTCTGAAGGGCTGTCCATCCTGTTTTGACAGTGTTTGGCAGTCACTTTCTTTTGTGTCCTCCATGTCTGCAGTCATGTCATGTCAGCAGTTGAGGCAAGGGCACTGTCTTGCCCAGTGGCTTACTTCTGCCACAAAGAAAGTAAACTCCATGTGGAGTTTCTGCAATGCCCATCATCTTCTCTGAAGTAGATTGGTGCTGCCAGAAACAGACATGTCTCATTGTTACAAAAAAGGAAAAAAGAGGGGCTGGAGAGATGGCTCAGTGATTAAGAGCACTGACTGCTCTTCCAGAGGACCAGGGTTCAATTCCCAGCACCTACATGGCAGCTTACAACTGTCTGAAGATCCAGTTGCAGGGGATCTGACACCTTCACACCAATGCAC